TTAGGAGAAATTTATACTATTAAAATGTGAAGTGTTTACCAGGTTCGTAGTTCAAATGAGGCGAGCAGGCATAACTGTAATTGGAAGCGTTATTCTCCGAATTCACATAATTATAATTGCCGCCCAGCAAGTATTGATGATCGTAGTGTAGGATATTAGTATGAAGTGGGAAAGACGAAGTGGGTCCCACTACAGCAGATGTGTTGGGCAAGAAGTTATCCTCACACTGAAAGCTGCTATTATTAATATTATTATTATTATTATTGTTATTTTGGGTACTTGTGGCCCGATCATGGGCCCGAAGGCGGTTGCGTCGAGACCTGGAGCGGCGGTTTTGAAACCAGTAGAAGACGTTGGCGTCGGCGACGGGCCCGTATCTCTGGAGCAACATACGGATCCTTGAGGTCTCGTCCTTGCTGGGGTTGACAGTGCCGCTGTTGAAGATGGATTCGAGTATCAGGATTTGTTCCGGTTTGGGGGCCCACCGAGACCTCGCCGGTTCCTGCTTGCCTTCATCGTCCATCTCTTTTTTTCTTAGAAAAGGCGAAATTGGAATTCTGAGAGAGAGAGAGAGAAGATGGAGTGAGTACTTGGGACAAATTAAGATGATATCTACATCAAGTGCAGGGCATTTGGATGTATTTAAAGGCGAAAAGATGGGAACGCCTCTTTCTGCCCAAATGACCCTTTTGCCACTCTCCATCATTCTTAGCAATATATATATCCATGGAATTAATTAATTAATTAATGGATATTTTATTGCTGTTACACTGTGGCGTTAACGATTAAAATTTTAACTCTGCTGTCGTTTTGCGGATCCATGTTTCTCCTATTGCTTTATAGTTTCATAAAATATAATTATTAGTAGCATAAAATATAGTTTCATAGTGTTTAGGGAGTAGTACTTATATTAAACTATATTTTATGCGTGTCAACATTTTTAAAATTACAAAACACTTTACTAATTATTTTATAAATATAATTTAAAATTTAATAGCTTACGTATTTATTATCATATGATATATCAAATCAATTATTTTTTGACAATTATTGATTTGATATCCCTATTTTATATATAAATAATACATCATTTCATTTTTAATAAAAAATAAATTATCTATCAACACTAAGTAGAAACTAATTAAATTACACAAAGAATACTCCTTGCCTCCTTGGTTCCAAAAAATCCCTAATCTCTCATTTACTGTAGCAACTCGCCTCTTTCGATCTCATTTGTGTAGTCTCTCTCAGTTGCAGCTCCGACGCTGTCGTGGAGACGACCCTTCCAGCGCAACCCTCACTCCATGGCCTTTGTTCAGTAACTTCATTTGATATAGCTTGCCTTCCTTGGGTAAGCTCGTCAGATGTCTTGGTGGCAATTTTTTGATGGGGGTGAGGATTGCGGTAGCTTTCTCGGGTCTTCGGCCTTTGCTTCTTCTTCTCCTTCGTCTTCTAGGGTTGAGACGGGGAGTGGCCGCCGGTTGATGCTCTATTTGGCTTCGAGCCTTTGGGGCTACTGTCGGTTTTGTGGTAAGGTGAAGACGATGGGGTTTTGGGGCGCGTTACTCTGTCAACCTTTGCTCTGTAGGTGGGTCTAGCTAGCTGTCACCGGCTCTTGGTGAAGAGAGTAGTTAGGTTTGTGCAGGGGCAGGGGTTTGACTCGGGAGGTAGTCTTCAACTCTCGTCTCCCTGTTGACTCTGGTTTAGGCTGCTCCTCTGGCGAGCTAGCGGTCACAGATGTCGAGTGGTCTCATCCCTTGTGCGGATGCTATGACGGCGTAGTGTTTGGTCGCTGGTTCTTGGGTGGGCGTGGAGCTTGGGGTTATAGCCGTATGCGGCTGTTGGCCGAGGTTGGGGCCTCGTGCTCTCTGTTTTCTTGTCTATTGGTGACGGTGGTCCTTGGGCCGCAGAAGTTGATTGGTGTGAATGGGAGGACATTTGGTTCTGGTCTCTCGGAGTTTTCTGTGGTCTTCCTTCGGGGGAGGATTCAGGTCCGTCGGTCTGGGCCGAGTTAGCCATAGGGGGAGTTTCCCGATCCGTGTATTTTTGGGATGGGGGTTTAGAGCCTCTTCGGTTTTCCGCTTTGGAGTCGGTTGGGTGGCAAGGGTCCTGGGTGCTTGTCCAATTGGCGGGGAGCTGAGGGTTTTCTTTCTAGTAGTCTGTTTTTGTGTGTTTGTTTCGTTGTGTGTCTTTGTTTTTCAGTAGTTAGATGTGTGTATTATGTGTTTTGTTCGCCAGTTTGGGCTTCGTTGTATTCTCCCGTTAAGAGTATTGTTTATTCTCTCGTTGGGAGCTTTTGTGTTTAGGTTTTGTGTGCTGTAGTTAGGTTGGTTTTAGGATGCCTCAGGCTATCTGCCTATGCTATGGGGTCTGTCTACCCAACTAGATTCAACTAAGTTGCTGACTTGTTCGGCTGTTTAACTGCCTTCTAGTTCATAATTTTTGTGTTTTTCTTTTATTGAAAGCCTATAGTTCCGATAAAAACATTAAAAAAAAAAAGAAACTAGAAACTAATAGATTTTATTATCAACTGAATCAATTTACCCATACAGTCTACTATAGAAAATGCATTAAAAAAATATAATATAAGATGGTTCAAAATCGCACAAGTGATACAGGCCATTTAAATACAAATAGAATAATATATAATGTAAATTTGTATATTATGAATTTAAAACAGAACTTCTATTTTATTATAACTACTACAATATCTGTGTATTACACGGCTGTTGAATTAAGAAACATGTATAAAAAATATTAAAATTTTTCCAAACAAAAAAAATTAAATACTTTATGTTTTAATTAAATTGTCAAATTATGTTGTTGTTAGGAATAAATACATTTTGCTTACCTAACTATCCGAAAATTTATACTTTACCTACAAAACTTTTTTTTTTTTTTACACTTTGCCTACCTAACTTTAATTTTTTGTACACTTTGCCATTTTTGGTCACCGCCGGCCACACGTGTCAATAAGGCACAAAAGCCACGTGTTGGTTTATGAGGCCGGCGGTGACCAGAAATGACAACGTGTACAAAAAATCAAAGTTAGGTAGGCAAAGTGTAAAAAAAAAAGTTTTGTAAAAAAAAAAGTTTTGTAGGCAAATTGTAAATTTTCGGATAGTTAGGTAGGCAAAGTGTAATTTTCCTTTTTTTCACATAATAGTTAAACGCCCGTATATAATTTTAGAATTTGAAAGTAAAACTATATTTTTCTTGACTTTACATGTAGACGTTAGATAATTAATTATTTATTTNATATGGAATGAAATAAATAATGATTGTTTCAATAAAAAAAATAATGTATTATAGAACTAACCATGGCTAATGAAAATTTGACATGGCACCCGAGCCTAATTATATATCCAAAACATAGAAGTATGACAAATAGGACCCCGAAACATGCGTGTCTGTCACTTAGTCTCAACAAATAAAAAAGGAATAGACAATGCAGAAAGTGATTTATAAGTCGTGCTTTAGGAGAGAAATATGGAAGAAAATTATAAGATTGTAAAATTGTTACTTGCCCAAATTAAGAAGTAAATTTGTACTAAGAGAAAAAAAAAAAGAACAAAATTAAATGTACACTTACCAAGTTTGAAAAAAGTTATTTATGTCTAAATTGTTATACAAAGCTGGGTTGAAAAGTTATTTATGTCTATATGAAGCCTAATTCTAAAGTAAAAAAATTAATATACAAACAATATTTCGAAGCGTATATTTTTACCATGACAGCATCCAAAGCGTGTGAGTTTGTCACGTAGGCTCAACAAGTTTTGAATTAATATATAAGGAGGGATTAACACCCGTGTAATACACAAGTGGTAAGGGTCTCTTTGTCACTTGATAAAAAATAATTCATAAGTTGTGACACATTTGCTTATTAATAAGGATATTAGTCTCAAATAATGTGCTATCCACATGAATTTCAGACTGATTGTGTTGATAAGTTATTCTTATCCACATACCATAACAAGTAATAGAATCTCAAAAACTCGTGTGACATGTACTTTGTATAGTTAGTTGATCTTGCAATGCCCACGAGTGAGCTTTAGTTTGACGATTTTTCCATTCATGAGACGACGGAATATGTTTGTTTACAAGCAGTTTATGGGCTGTATAAAGTACAAATTAAAAAGAAAGTGCTGCCTACAATAAGTTGATGTTTCAATCTACTTGCCTAATTTCTGTCTCAAATTTCAAATCCAGTTTTACCTAATTCTTAAGAAACAATTAAAAGTTTTCTTTTTGCACGCTGTTGAGGAGGCAGCCGCAAACATTGAAAGCATACTCTGTTTATATTAAACGATAAGAAATGAATGATTTTCATATTATACGTTGGTTGGTGGATTCCTGATATTCACTTCACACGTACATCCAAATATGAAATTATTAGGATTCAATTTACCTTCAACGAAATTACATTAAGGTAGTGACCGAAAAATTTACATATGATATTATATATTGGAATCAAATTTACATCAAAATTCTTGTTAGAATTTAATGATTCTGATATAATGTTTTCAATGATTTATCGTTTAATCCTGCCATTTGTCCTAGCAGGGATCGTATCTCAGGTTGGGCTACTTGGACCGATTCATCCATATAAAAATCCAAATGGATCAACAAGACTGAATAATTTTCTCCATAACACAATGTCCATTTTTTAAAGAGAAAATTACACCCATTACAATCCTTCGTACAAATAATATTCAATTTACGAGTACACGAAATTTTCATCAGATTTACGTGCTCATTAAAATAATAGGGTGGACAATTAATTTTTGCCCTGATTAACCATGCACTGCTATTAAATATTTGTCCCTTTCTCTCTCTCACCCTCTTCCTTTGTTAATCTCTCTCTCTTTCTCCCATACTTATCTCTATCTTTTTTTCCGTTCTTTAATCTCTCTCTGGCACCCTCGTCCCCGCCCCTTTTCCATCCCACTTCTCCTATATCTCTTTCTTCTTTTTTTCGTTCTTTCTCTACCCAATTTCTTCTCTACAATTTCTAACAATACACAATTTCTCAAATTTTAGAAATTACCTTTCAATTTCGAATCCATGGAGGTCCAGTTCAGTGGGGTTTCGAGCGGCGGCGCAACGCACGAGGCCCGGACTGAAGACTCGTCAATTCCACCATCATCTTCCCAAATTTCTCTGTTACATATATCATCTTCATACACCAAGCATAAAATCCTATTTATTTATTGCAGAGGCTCGTCAATGACGAAGAAACGGCCATTATTGGTAAAACCGAGAATCTTCCATAAAATCTCAAATTCACCAAAAGTATTGCAACTAAAGGTTCGAAAAAAGTAAACAATCGAGCTATCTGGTAAATTACCCTAACAAAACTTGACAGAGAACGGTGATTTTATATCAAACCCGACGATGAAGAACAAAGTCCTCCTCGGGTGAGTCATTGAAGGAAAGAATTAGTACCTCGCAAGAAGAAAGTTGATATTGCTAACATGGATAAGATTAAGATGGTTGATTATGTTTTTTTGAATGTCAAGGTATATCATATTTATCCCGTTTCAGAATTGTTTATATGTTTTTTATCTTATGTATAACTATAAGGTTAATATTAGAGAACTGCCAGATCATGTTTATCTGATGTATATATACAGTATATCTGAACATATATTTGAAGTCATTCAGAATTGTGTATTATATTTTATCCCGTAGTGTTGTTTACATATTGTTTATCTTATGTATAACTATACGGTCAATTTACATGTTGTTTAACTTATGTATATTAATGGCATTATCTTTATTTTGGTGAGAGGAACAAATTTTTTGCAATTGTTTAACTTATGTATATTAATGGCATTATTTTTATTTTGGTGAGAGGAACAAATTTTTGGAAAGAGAAGCAAAGCAACGGATTGGAGAGAGAAATGGGCATATTAATGACATTATTTTTTTTTGTGAGAGAAACAGATTTATTGGAAAGAGAAGCAATGGATTGGAGAGAGAAACAAATTTGTAGCTATCATCGTAATTGTGAAAATAAGATCTCTCTCAAATCTCTTTTTGATAAATATTTCTATTGATCGTATATGTGAAAATAACTCCTATATGGAGTTTAAGTATGTAAATTTCCCTTTTTTAAATGTAGAACATAGAAAAAATGTGTCTTCAATTGTAAATGTTAATTGTAATATAAATTGTGTGTAATATTATAATTCGTTGAAGAATTAAAGTGAGAGAATAAATAAATAATATAAGATATAATAGAAAATGTTTAGAATTAATTCTACATCTAGAACAAGTTTTAGACATTTCCAATGTAACATAAAATATATTGGGCCATTTGAGACTCGAATAGAATTAGCCATGAACTATTTGAGATGTTCTAGTTAACAGGTAGAGTGGCCCAAGAAGGAGATCATTTCACCGTAACTACTTATCGAATTTTTTAACGCCATGAACACACACATAATTATCTAACTATTAAAACCTTGGTAACCAAAATGTCAAACCTTCACAAAAAGAGAGAAGCACAAGCCTAGAAGTCAAAATACATAAGAAAAATATTAATATAAGTGGCTTGGAAAGCAAAAAGATAGTACATACAGTATGAATGAGGCAAGTTACACAATATTATGTGTTCACTAATATGTTTATTCCTTACATTTTTATTCTCTCTCGTTTGTCGTAATTTAAGAATCAAAGTGTTTCTTTTTTTTTTTTTCTTAAACAACAACAACAATTTTATAAAAACTAACCGAAATGGCAAATGTTCAAGCAACCAACTGAGTTGCAACAACCAGGACCGTTTCTATAAATTTGGAGGTCCTAAACAAGTTTGTCTTTTTCGAATTTTTCGATTTGAGCTTGCGTGGTAATTGGCTATTTGCAGATAGAATCATATAATGAAAAAACCTAATTAAAATGGACTATTCAACAAATAAATAAATAATTCAAAAAAAATATATATATATTTTTTTTCTAGATCTTGGAATTGATAAATTACCTATGGGTCACAAAGATCTTTAATAATTTATATTCAACCAGTCATGAGAACAACAAGGAGAAGAAAATAAAAATCATATCACTACAAATAATATTTATTCCACACAATTGTTTTAACCGTACATCATAAGAAAACAAATGAAATATTTAGGCCTCAAA